TTTTGCAGAGGCAACAGCTTTGATTTGTTTGGAATAAAATCATGGTAAATTCTAGTTAAGTAGAAATACCAAGCGTGGCACATTACTAAGATTTTAGCAGTTTGGGTGCAATGTAAACATGTGACTGAACTTCAGCACGTACTGCATCTGGGTCACTTACAGCTACAGGGTAGTATTATATTTTATTGTTAATGAAAAGTATGCACGAACAGAAGCAGGGAGCGTGAGGAGTGAATAACACCTGAGAAAGTTAGCAGTCCTTCCCAGCGCTTGCGAATTTGAGCTGGTTTTCTAATTTGTATCGGAAACAAAGCGAGTTATACTTGTTTGGAAAAACGTAACTTTCTGACAACTTAATCAGATGACAGAACTTTTTTTCCATAGGTGAGACCAGATAAGAAATTTTCTTCTATGTAGTCTTGAATTAGATTTTTTAAATGGGTTAAAAATATAGAATACCTTTTATCGCCATGTCATAAAGAACAATTTCCATCAGTTCATTTCACTTTGTAGAGCAAGATTCTCCTTCAGTAATATTTATCTTTTGCCATCCTAGCAGCGATGTTTGCAGATCCAAACAAAGAATTTTGTATTTAGAACGCTAGTTGTAATCCAATCAGAGGATATTAAGCAACTTCCAGGATTAGACCCTCAGTGAAAGTTTGTTCCCTTTAGTTTCGCATTTCCTTCGGTTGGCTGCTTGAATTGTCCTTCTATAGTTTTGCACTGGAGTATATCCTGTACAAATAGGGAAGAGATTTTGACCTAGAAGGAGAGACCTCTTATTAGTGTGCATACTTTTAAATTACAGTAGCTATCTGAAGCATCTTGACATGCGATAGGTAGCACTGTTGCTATATGGGTTGGATTCAAGTTGTTACTTAAACAAGCAACCTCCCACCCTTATTTCTCAAGGAGAAACTTAAGATCTTTCTGATTCAAATTTATGCACGTCACTTTGGTTATATCCGATGTATTTGTAATGTTGCCGCCGTTGTTAGACCGGGGGATTTAGGCGTATTTCCAGCAGTAACTCCGTCGTGAACCTCCCTTTCCCTCCGAACCCGCCTTCATCCGTGAGGCACCTAACGACGCCGGGATTCACGGTGCTTGGGCAGTCAGCGCAGTGCTCCTGCCAATTAACGCGCCTTGTGCCGTCTGTAGACTTTCCTAGCAGCGGGGTTAGTCCCGCAACAAGAAGCAAGGTTGTAGAGGGGAGACCCAGCTCTAGTGCGAAAAGGATCCCAGGGCGATTCCCGCGTACCCCGCCAAGAGCCCCGGCTCGGCGGCCCCTGAGGCCGTGCCCGGTCCAGCCCGGCCCCGGGCCTCGGCCCGGAGCGGAGCGGGACGGGGCGCTCGGGGAGCCCCCGCGGCCGGCGGCCGGGAGAAGAGTGCTGGGGACTCGGGGGCAGCTGCGGTGCCAGCGCCTTAGCCCCCGCGGACGCCGTACGTGCAGGCAGAGAGGTGAAACAGGGAGGAAAAGGTTTTTTGTTTGTTTTTTTTCCTCAGGACAGCAGCCTTCCCCGCGGAGTTTTACTTGTCCCTTGCGCCGTGCGCCGTCCCCCGCGTTGTACCACAGGGACCGCGGCCGCCACCGCCCGTCCCCCGCGGAGCCCCGCACGGGCGGCGGCACCGCCCCTCCCCGCCCGGCCGCCCAATGGGGGCGCGGCAGCTCC